GACTGTTTCAAACCTAACATTCCTTCGCCACCACCTCCTCCTCCGCCTCCACCGCCTCGTGTCCCGATGCGTGCGCTGTGGTCACCGCGTTCCACTTCTTTGGCTCCCCGATTCGAATAATACTTTGCAAGCCAAGCTTACGTGCTTCCCTTTATTAAATACACCGTGGGTAGGTGGGGGTCACGAGTACGATATCCAGCAGGATTCACGGTCCTCTCCCACGGAGTGCTCCATATTTTTCCTGTGCTTAGTCCCACTCCAAATAAGATCATGTCATGAGCCGCCAATACATAGAAACCCTGTTTTATCCCCGGCAGGAAATCATCGCCAGGAACGGGTTCGCATTTGGCTTGGGATACGCTACTGGCGCGCGCGAGAGGCAGCAGCAAGATTTGTTCTCCCATTCGCGGTGGGCCACCACAAAGACCTTGCGCTGATTGGTTGGTCTGTCAGATTTCCACCCATCGCGAGTGGTCTCTCATCTCCCCGCCATGGCGATTCAGTAGGCTTCGCTGCCTCACCAGAGGGTCGGGGCACAGCATTGCCCTCCAACAACGTGGAAGGGCCCACCAGCAAGCACTTTCAGTGATTGGTGGGACTCACGCCTTAAGGGACCCATAAAGGTTAAGATGTCGGGTCCTCCTCAGCCGGTCCCGCATCAGCCATTGTTTACTCGTTGAGATGCGTGCGGAGGCATCATTGATAACTGCACGATATTACTGTGGAGAGACTTCCTCTTCCCAGAATACGGGAGGGCGCTCTTATTTTATTTGGATTGATTGCAATTAAAGATGTGCATCCACCATTAATATTAACTTACAAGCTTTATCAACCTAAAGAATCAAGGGAATTTATAAAAAAACATCCAATAACGAGATTTTACTAGATAACACTGCATATTTGATTTTTATTGGGAGGTATTTTAAAAAAATTAAAAATACTCTTGAAATCAGGTCGATCCTTTTTTTGAATCGAGTTATCTGATTTAAACCCGAGTTAGTTAGGTCTAGTTGAGAGCTCGATCCGGATCCAATCTATTCAGGTCAGGTTTAAGATAAATGGAAAATAGGATTACATGAGAGGTACACCGAAATAACCATAGTTTAAGCAATGGCAACCAATGCTCCTCTCCTTTGCTCTTATAATATCCCATACTAGTTGTTTCACACATATCTTACATAAATTACACATTTTAGTTTAATTACTACTACCAATAAAAGTGCAGTGAAAAAAAAACAATCTTAAAAGTTAAGCTAGACAAAATAATAGGATTTCCTTGTATATAATGATTTTGACACATGTACATAATTATTATATTTAACTAAATATATATATACGCCTAACATTGCAAAATTTATACAAAAAAAAAAAAAGCATATGTCATTATTCATATTTGTGTTGGCATAAGCTTACATGTGATTACTCCCTTACTCAAGTGATTGTGTGGGATGCTAATATACTTGTCTATAAAATAAAGTCTATAATGAATCATCATCAATAAATATACGTTTTTATAATTTTATTTAGGTAAGTTATCATGTATATAATATTTCAAAATCATATGCATAAGATAATTAATGGAAACACCTCATCTTATGACTTCTTTAATAATCATAACATTGTAACTTAGTACTAGTTACAAGTGCCCTGTATGCTACTCACGTGAGTGATGACACGTATGACACACTACGCAGTCTTTTTACTTATTATTATTATTGATATTTTCTTACATTATGTTGCATGTTGCATATATTATGATATTCATGGATTTGTGCAATACGAATCGGATCGTGATGAGATCGCAATAGTGAGACCAATTCCTCTTTAAACATATACCCTAAACAATCTCGATCGTAGGTTACTCGAGAGAGACATCAAAATAATCGAACAGACTTGTGTGATGTATACTCGTCCATATGATGGAGCAGCTGATCTCATAGTTGCTCATATGAGGACATTAGGGGTACAGTGCAGGTGCTCATTGGAGAATGAGTTCACTGATTGATCCGCTCAGGGAATGCTGGATAATTAATGATACCTCATTGTTAGACAATGATTTTGTGGACCTAGTTATGCGTTTAGTCCTTAAACTTAAGACACCAAGGATGTCATGTATGAGTACTCTGCTCTTTGATACCAGACTTATAGGTCTATAGGTTTCAGATCTAGTACAACCGATCATCGAGAGTAGTAGCCAACCTTGTGAGGGCAATTGAGTGTCGATAGAGGATCATCCGCTCTTGGTGTCATGAGAGAAATATACTATGTGTTCTTGCTTAGGCAAATCCCTAGCTAGGGTCATTCGGATTGAGAGAGAGAGAGTTCTCTGGGAGAATCCAATTAGAGCGAGACTCGAGTAGATTCCATATGGGCCTAACAGCACCATGCCCGGTATACGGTCTCTGAGATATTAGATGGATGAGGAAATATAGATACATGATAACTGAGGACAAACAAGTCTAATTGATTAGATTTCTTTGTATCGTCTAAGGACTACGGCGTAGTGACATAGTACGTCTGTAATCGATGAGTCGAGTGAATTATTATGGAGATGATAATTCATTAAGTTTGAATGAGTTCTAATAGGAATGACTCATGACCAGCTCGATATTGGGCTTAGAGGGTCACACACATATAGTAGGTGTTGCGATAAATGGGGGTATCCACTGAAGCCCTTATCTTATTGGATATCCAATAAGTCCCTGAATTATTGAATCTTGTGGATAAGATCCAATAAGAGCCAATAAAAGATTATTATATAGAAATCCACTAATTCAAGAGGATTGAGTAGTTGGATAGAGATCTAATACCCAATAGGGAAATATCCATTAATGTTAAGTTGATAGGGACCTCTATAAATAAAAGGAAATCAAAAGGGACTAGAACCCTTTTCAGTTGCCACCTCCTATTCTCCTCCCTCCCTTTCTTGCTCAACTAACAGCCATAGTTGCGTGTGGACAACAAGAAGGGTCGGCCCCTTCTTAATCATGTGGTGCGCGTCCAGAGGAAGATCATACATCGATTTAAAGATCGTCTTCGTTGCATCTACCATGTGGATCACCGTTAGAGAGGAGGACAGTTGATCTCCTTCATCCACTCCTATAGATTTGAAAATTTACAAGGATACATGATCTTCCTATGTAACAAATCTCGCTTAATACGCGCAGTTTCGGTTTTGTGTTTTGTTTTGTTCACCAATCTTCGCAAGACGATGAAAACCCTTTTTCTTTAGGAAATATACGATTTTGCTTTCTATTCTTCTGTTGTGCATGTGATGCTCTATCTAAGTTTCCCAATAGTGGTATTAGAGCCACGTTGCTCGTACTATTAATTGATTTTTAAACTACATGTATTGATGAATCACATAGAATTGTTTTTGCGCAATTGTTATCATTTTTTATCGTAGTTTTCATATCTGGAACTATAACTCTTTTCTCTGTTAAAAAGTATTTTAGAAAGACATTTTGGTGTTAAAATTGTTGATGCAAAAGAGGAAGAAAGGGCAACAATTGTTGCTGCCCTATAGGTCGGCCAAAGGCTACTTGCAACCTTGGTCGAGAGTCCTAGAAGAGGCTCTTAGCCTGGCCACCTGCAGCAAACCTACTAGTCATAGGTGCCTTGCAAGCCAATCACGTGAGTGATGATATGTGTCATACGCACTCTTTTTGCTTATTATTTATTTGGTATTTTATCACTTTATCTTGCATGATTGCATATATTGTGATATTCATGGATCTGTACAATAGAAATCAAATCATGATTAGATCACGATAATGAGACCGATTCGCCTTTGAGTAGAGACTCTAAATAATCTCGGTCGTAGGTTACCCGAGAGGGACATGAGATAACCAGATAGATTGGTGTGTTGTATACTCGTCCATATGATTGAGATAGTTGGTCTCATAACTGCTCGTGTGGAGACACTATAGATACAGTACAGGTTCTCATTGGAGAATGAGTTCATTGATTGATCCGCTCACGAAATATTAGATGATTGATGATACTTCATTTTCAGACAGTGATTTCGCCATCCTAATGGTGTATCTAGTCCTTAGACTTGAGATACCAAGGATGTCCTGTATGAGTACTCCACTCTTTGATACATAACTTATAGGCTTGAAAGTTCTAGATCTAGCACAGTCGATCATCGAGAGTGACAGCCAACCTTACGAGGGCTATTGAGTGTCGATAGAGGATCATCTGCTCTCGGTGTCATGAGAGGAATATCCTATGTGTTTTTGCCATAGCCATGGTCATTCGGATTGAGAGAGAAAGAGTTCTTCGGAAGAATCCGTTTAGAGCGAGACTCGAGTAAAAACCATATGGGCCTGATAGTACCATGCTCGAAATATGATCTCTATGATATTAGATGAACACGAGACTATAGATATATGGTAACTGAGGACAGATAGGTCCAATGGATTAAATTCCTCTATATCGTTTGAGGATTGCGGCGTAATGGCCTAGTACGTTTGTAATCGATGAGTCGAGTGAATTATTATCGAGATAATAATTCATTGAGCTAGAAGGAGTTCTGACAAGTATAACTCACGGCCAGGTCGATATTGGGTCTAGAGGGTCACACACATATGGTAGGTATTACGACAAGTAGAGGTTCGGATATGAGATATCCGCTAGAGCCCTTATCTTATTGGATATCCAATAAGCCCCTGAATTATTGGATTATATAGATAAATTCAATTGTTGAAAAATCTAGGGGGTGATATCACATGCGCAGCGGAAGAACATAAAAAACAAAATCCTTAAATTCCCAAAGATGTGTTCGTCATCGCGCGAATATTGGTGCACAAAATTCGCGAAACATAAAATTGCGTAAATGAAAGATTGTGTTACCTAGGGAGATCGTATATCCCTGAATCCCTGCAGATCTCTAGGAGAGGGTGAATGAGGTCAAGCATCCTCCTCTCTAGCGATGATCCACATAACAGAACTATGACAACACTCCTCAAAACTCCAAGCCTGCTATCTGAGGTGGAGAGATGGAGGAGAATGGGAGAGGCAATCCAAAAAGGCTTTAGCCTATGAACCATTTGTTCCCTCTTATTTATAGAGGTCTCTTATCAACTTAACCCTAATGGATCCTGCCCTATTGGGTATTGGATCTTCATCCAACTACCCAAGCCTCTAGATTAGTGGATCTCTATCCAATAATCTCTCATTGGCTCTTATTAGATCTCATCCATATGATCCAATAATTCATGGGCTTATTGGATATCCAATAAAACAATGGCTCCGACGGATATCTCATATCCGAACCTCTACCCATCGCAATGCTTACCATATATGTGTGACCCTCTAGGCCCAATATCGAGTTGGCCGTGAGTCATACCTGTCAGAACTCTGTTTTGCTCAGTGAATTATTCTCTCTATAATAATTTACTCGACTCATCGACTACGGATGTACTAGGTCACTACGGCGCAATCCCTAGACGATACAGGGGAATCCAATCCATTGGACCTATCTGCCCTCAGTTACCGCATACCTAGAGTCCATCATCCGTCTAATATCCTAAAGACCATATACCGGGCATGGTATTGTCAGACCCATATTGTTTCTAATTGAGTCTCGCTCTAATCAGATTCTCTCGGAGAACTCTTTCTCTCTTAATCCAAATGACCCTAGCTAGAGATTTGTCTGAGTAAGAACACATGAGATATTCCTCTCATTACACCGAGAGTAGATAATCTTCTATCGACACTCAATAACCCTCGCAAGGTTGACTATCACTCCTGATGACCGACTGTGCTATATTTGGAACATCCAAACCTATAAGTCTGGTATCAAAGAGTGGAGCACTCATACAGGACATCATTGGTGTCTCAAGTCTAAGGACCAGGTACACCACTAAGACTACGGAATCACTATCTAATAATAAGGCATCATTAACTATCCAACATTCCGTAAGCGGATCAATTAGTTAACTCATTCTCCGATAAGCTCTTGTACTATATCCATAGTGTCCCCACACGAGCAACTATGAGAACAACTGCATCCATTATATGGACGGGTATACAGCACACAAGTATGTCCGGTTATCTCGATATCCCTATCGAGTAACCTATGACCAAGATTATTTAGGATTTGTGTTTAAAGGTGAATCGATCTCATTATCGTGATCTCATCACGATCCGATTCTCATTGCACATATCCATGAACATCACAATATATTCAAGCAACATATAATATAAAGTGATAAAATACCAAATAATAATAAGTAAAAAGACTGTGTGTCAAGTCGTATGTGTCATCACTCACTTGATTGGTTTGTAGGGTCACCTATAACTAGCAATCTCCCACTTGACCTAAAGTCAATCACATATGTGTCTGATCCTCATTAGACCCCTGTGACGCTAAAAAAAAAAAATTGAGATAATGACTTTGTCAATAGATCTACGATGTTATCTTCGGATGTAACTCTTTCCATTGCTACATCTCCTCGGGTCACAATCTCTCTGATAAGCTAGAACCTACTCAGAACACTTCTGATGAGACCCAGGTTCTCTCATTTGAGTAATCGCCCCTTAATTGTTGCAATATAAGGGAATCAACTCCTTGTTGCCCGGCACGACTCTCAAATCTTATTTGGAACTCTTCCAGCACACTGCTCCTCCATTCAGGGTATACACATACCTCGAATGCGACTTGCTATCATCAACATCAGACTGGAAACTTAAGTCCATGTAGCCTTCAATCCTGAGGCTACTACCTCCACATACCAGTAAAATATCCTTAGTCCTTCTCAAGTACTTAAGAATATATTTTACTGCTCTCTAGTGCTCCAAGCTTGGATCCGCTTGATACCTGTTCGTGACACTCAAAGCATGCGCTATATCAGGCTTGATACATAGCATGACATACATGACAGACCCTATTGCTGAGGCATAAGGTATCCTATCCATGTTCGTCCTTTCTTCAGGAGTCTTCAGGGTCATACTCCTTGAAAGCGATATCCCATGTCTCATCGGTATGAGACATTTCTTGATATTTTCTATGCCAAACCTTTTGACAATGGTGTCTATATATCTAGACTGGGATAAGCCAAGCATCATCTTAAATCTATCTCTATAGATCTAAATTCCCAAGATATATGATTCTTCTCTAAGTCCTTTATTGAGAAGTATCTAGATAATCAAACCTTTACTGTGAATAGAATTCTTACATCATTCCTAATGATCAGGATGTCATCCGCATATAACAGTAAGAAGATGATAGTGCCCCCACTTACCTTCTTATACACACAAAGCTCATCTTTATTCTCAACGAAGTCATAAGATCTGACTACCTCATCAAATCTTATGTTCCAAATATAGGAGCACCATATGATAAAACACTCTCATAGAAACTTCAAGTTGAGACACATTAACCATAAAAATATTTAGCTATTTAATATTTATATATACAGTTGCAAGTGTGTCAGGACTCGCTTCTTATTACTTAGAAACCAAGTCTCTTAGTGACTCAGATACCTGTTTAAACCAGTGCCAAGCATATTTGAAATCTTACCTGTGCATCAACTTTGCATTATCCTAACTTGATTAACCTCACTTTAATCAGGTTTAACTTCAGAACATGGGTTTATGTTCATGAGGTCAACTCTAATGCTAGGAAGAAGGTGCAAAAGTTCCAAGGCAAGAAGCTCAGGCTGCTTTCTCAAGAACTGAATAATTGCAGGACTGATGTTATAGCAGCCAAACCAGTTCTTAAAACTCCAAAACAATGAAACATGGAAACCCCAGGGGTCTTTTAGAAAGATCCACCAGGGAACCAGTTCTGCTGAGTGACTTGGACTTCTAATACTAAATTCTCTGATAAGGTCTTATCCAAAGTTTGAGCATCAGTAAACTAAAA